CAAAAGTAAATTACCTAAGTCAAATTACCTAAAAAGCTCACATGTTCTTTTAATAATCTAATTATTTTTGGATGTAAAACAATGGTGGTGTAATAATAAAAAGTAGAACACAATCGCTTCGAATAGAACCACTACTAAAAATCCATCTCAATAAAAATCAATTTTGAAAGTAAAAAATGTCTACTATTATCAACATAAATGTTCATTTTACAGTTTGTATTTTTACAAGCAGATTACGTGCTTGGTTGTGTTTCTATTCATCATAATATCCATTTTAATTAAAATCAATTTTTTAAATATGATAAAATATATGTGAAATAGTCCGTGACAGTTTTCACGCATCCACACTCCGCCCGGTCACTAAAAATATGCAAAATTATACATTTCTTTAAATTAACCAGCCCGCCATCTCCATAAATTTGAATCAACATTTGAAAAATGATTTCACACGTGGGCGTTTTCCCACTCGTCACGCAACAGAAATTTGATCTAATAGACTTGTCCTGAGCGCGTTGATTAGCTCGAACAAAAATCGATTAGGTTCGAAAATTTCTGTTCCTGCGGCATTCCGGTGTCCTGCAGACACCCAGACGGCGATTATTTAAGTCGAGTGCAGCCATTTGTCTCGGTCCCGGAGAAATATTCATTAGTCCAAACTCGTTCATCGGAAAAAATAACGAGCAAAAACGGCATGCGACAATGATATCGGCCGTCGATCGGGCCGCTAACTTATGCAGATGTATTCACCAATCTCGTGCAATTGTGCTGTAATTTAAAACTTACAAGGCCTGTAGACGAGGTATTTTTAAGAGCGATTCAAATGAGAGACGCGAGGAGCGAGAAAAACCAGTCCACAATGGAATTGTTAAAGTTTGATTCGGGCAGATGCGGCCCGGAACCAATCTCCACCAGAAAACTCCGGGGAAACACGAAGTATAAATAATAATTCGAAATTTTTGGTGATGCGGTACAACCTGATCGTTGATAATCTGGAGGATTTCGCGCGTATATGCATGGTATCAAATTTCAGGGTAAATTATGATAAAGTATCCACATGATGGCGGTTTTGATTAATCTGGTTGGTATCGTGTTTGACACCTTACAAGTTAACTGTTTGGAGGAATAAATCGTCGTTTCGGATTTGGCTTTGGGTCAAAAATCGGTTTAGTGTTAATGAAGTAGAGTCGATGCAATCTGCAAGCATGTTCTTTCTAGACGATTGTATCTCTCGTATTTATTCGGTAGTTGTGTTGCGGAGTGTATCAGCGAACTGTTGGCTATCTCTATTACGGCCCACCGGATTGTTTTACATTTACACGCAACGTTATCTCTTTGTTGGTCGTTTGAGGACTCAATCCTCGTCCCGGCGAAATTTTCTTTATGCGTTCTTTGAAGCGATAGAGAAACAACAACGAACGAAACGAAAGCAGTCCATTGCAGAAATGAACATTCGCGTTTGATGTGAAAGGTCGGACATTAATTCATAATGAACGAGCAGACTCCTACCACTTATATTTCCTTAATCCCTGAGAGCACACAAACGGACCAGCGGCCGCCACACTACCGGCCGCATAGCATGATGAAAACCTAATGGTTATATCTCTTTATGTCGAGATCAAAGGGCAACGGGCAGCGCCTGGTGTGCACAAGATCGTCCTTTTTCCGAACTCATCATATCTCGAGGCCGCGATGCCCCATCATGGCACACGGCTCTAATTACTGAGCGCATCTCTTCACGGTGCAAGGACCGTGACCAACCGACCGCCGGATAATCGACCAAAACAACCCTAATTGACCCCTCAACCGATCATTAACACACATCAAGAACAGAAAAACAAATACCATTCGAAAAAACACACTTTCCTGCATAAAGCTCAGGACATCACTATTACAATACCATTTTATTAATGAAAAGAAAATTAACTTTGGTGTACTTTAAACATTAAGTTTAGCCACCAACATTAGGTTTTTGTAGTCACAAATAAAAAGATTATTCCAATTTATTTTTTACCTTATGTAAAATTAATTAGCTATGAATTTTTACACATTTATTACATTAAAATTCTAACTGATAAATACATATTATGCACCTACAACAAGATGTTTTAGAATACCATTTTTAGTCTGATTTTTCAAATTCTTTTATTTTAGCCCTTATACAGGGTGATTCAAAACTGCCAAACCAACTCTCAACTGGTGATAAAAGACTTTCAGCTAGGCACAAAAATTAATTCAATTTTTTTTTCAAGCCTTCTTGTTGAGAAAAAAACAAAACTGTCAATTTCCATCATGTAAGCATCTTAGCTCTTTTGTTTCTTTATTTCTGATGTCGGATTTAATTTATTGTTGAATTTAGTGCTTTGTTAAATGTTTTTTATACACCGTAAAACACAAGTTGGTAACTAAATTCAAAAAACATTGTCTGAACAGCCAACAATTTAATGCAAAGTCTAATCTTTAAAGAGAAAAAAGGCTCAAACCATTTTTTTGTCATGGGTTGTTTTAACTCAGTTCAACCTGTAGAACAAAAAGTTTAACATTTATTTCTATTAGCAGTTTCAAAGCTTACAAGTTTTAAATTTTGAATGCAAAAATAAGCGAATAAAGGAAGAAGCAAATATTTTATACAAAAATAGAGCGAATGAGCGAATAAAGGCAATTCATTTAGGCGAGTAGCAGCTGCGATTTCAATTTCTTTTCTTTGCAAATATGTTGCAACATAAGAGCACATTGAAAACAAAAATAGCTGTTGTGATCCAGATAAAGAAAAATCTTAAAGAGAAATTACGGTAGTTTTTTTCCTGTATTCTTGTTATTTGATTTGGAATTGGAAGTAGAACTTCGACATTTTTTAATCACCCTGTATATCAGAATAAATTAGATAATTTTGGTTTTTAAAATGTTCTGAAAAGGCATGCCAGATGTGGCCAGAACTGAGCCACATCATGATATTTTAATTTTCTTCGGTTTGTCTAAAAACTAATCAAACTTTCAACAAGAAACTTGAAGTTACTGGCTCTCGTGCTTATTATTTTTAAAAACTTGTCAAATGGTGAAAAAATGAATGATGTTTAGTTATTAAGTGCAGGCCGCTAAGCAGTGACGCAGTGCAGAGAGTCTGCCAAGAGATTCTATTAGTATGTAAGTAGTTCGTGAGTTAAATTCCGTCCGTAGTGAATCAAACCAGTGTCAATATTTCAGCTTTTGGCAATAATCGTCGGTTAAGAATCGATCTGTATCCGCGTCGGTGGTTTATTATCCTCGCCTTTTCCTCGTCCATAATGCATGGCTCGTTGCAAAGCAGGTCCGGGAATTTGACAGGAGGCATCCCGGCAGACTCCTCCTGCATCTTCCATAAACCTAAGATCGCGTACATTACGAGGGCTCCGATCTGTAATTCATTTTCCGCCGGACTCGAGTCAATTATTTAAAAATTGCCGTCCCAGCGTGCATCATTTCTCCGCGAGTTCCGTTCCCGGAACAGTCGTATTTCGCAGCGGCCGCAGCCGCCCTATGGGTCCCCGAGGACTACTTCCGGCTTGTTTTACATCGTTTTGTTCTAACAATCCCGCGCATAACTCCTGCATCGACCCAGCGAGCGCTCCTAGCACTCAAATTGAAATTCGAAATTCGGGATGGTGGTGCTCATTTGACAGACGATAACTCAACGCTAACTGATAAAGATTACCAGAGAGGCCCCCCCGCTTTTTGCACTTTCGAGACGAACATACACGAAACAAATTGCTTTTTGAAAGGTCGACAAGAGCGCTGCCGACTGTCAGCGAGTAATTGATGAGCATGACGCGGGCCTAATTAACGCAGAGCATAACGCGGGACACACAATCACAAGGCGATAACTTAAGAAATGTCAAAAGACGGATATAGAGGACGGAAAAAACGGGCAGGTGATGATGGTGACAACCGTAGATGCAACTGTTACCAATTTTCTACACAACATGAAGAAAAATTGAGACTGACATAAAAAAAAAACAGATTATGCAACGATCAATATCCACAACACCAAATGGATGTATAAATTAAACAAATAAATGTGAAATATTGTAACTAAAAAATACTAAAAAAATATTAAAGCGTTTTTTAAAAGTTCTAATTGAATTTAGAATTGGAAATTCAACCAGGTTTTGTTTCAAAGAAATGTGTTTTTTTCTAAATTTTTACAGATTAAAAAAATAAAAAAGATATAATTTGGAATGCCTATTAGTCAACAGATTTAAGTTTTTTTTGAAAAAGAAATGTTTATACAAACAATAGTTATGCTAATTTGTAAAATGTATGTAGGTATGTTTATGTATATTAAACTTTACTTTAAACATTACTTTATTAAAGTGCCTGTAAATTGTCAGTACATTAAATAAACATTTTTGCCAAAGTAAATTATTATTGAGAATGTAATCTAAACCTTGTACTAAAAAAGCTATAGCTAATAAGATAATGCTACACTATGAAAATACGAAATAAGAGAAACTAATTTTTAATTGGACAAAAATTGCTTTTTGACGATTTCATTTCCTGTTACAAATTTCGTACAACAACGGGTTATAAACCTTGCCATAAATTACTATCAAAAGCACTGTTACATAACAATACTAATTTATCAGTTCTCAATGCAACGAGAATAGTTTCCTCTATTTCATAAGTCACTTCATCGATAGTAAATTATCTAAAGTGCCTCTAAAAAGAAATGACAATATTACATAAATATCCGAATTTTTGTTCGTTGTGTTTACTTTGTGGAAGATCCGCGATCTTGTGGGTCATCCGAAGAGGCGGATGTTTATGGGCGAAAGCTCTGTCCATTCTCATTAGCGCGTTGAAACGGGACTAATGTCGAATCGAAGAAGCATCGAGCAATAACAATCAAAGCACTTACCTGTGCCGGTTTCTCGAATATAGCCCGAGAAATAAAATTCCGAAACGGTAATGGTCACTTTTACGGCCTCGAAATTCGCCGCTTTTAAAGCTATTAGATTATGACTTACCGGGACATGACATCGGGAAACTCCCTCTTCAAAACCGCCCACTTCTGCAACAGAAAGAATGGGATGAGAAACGCGGCCTGGAAACAGGGAAGGTTTTTGCACTACCATAATGTTATCACACGCGTCTGTTTGGATTACTTCTGTGTACAGCCGGAATTACGGGAAAACTAAAATCTTTCGATAATATTGTTGACAATAATTATTGCAGTGAAGGGAGTGCCTATCTTTCGATAATACCCGATTTTGATCGCGCTACGTCCCTTAATTGTCATTTCCTCATTTTTTCCCCATTCGCTTTAGACACCGTTTTTTAACTTTCGCTTGATTGTTCGACGGATCGAAATTAAATATCCAGAAAGCGGAAATGGGATCGCGAAAGGGGGCCCCGGCCGAATAACAAACACATTTCCTTATAATGGCGAATTAGTCGCTAATGGAAGAAACACATCTCATCTGATTCAGCCACAAAGCTGCGATCTCGAGGGATCGCCTTTGATTAGAATCGTATGATTGCATTGCTCAGTGTCTGGAAGTGCACGAGAAAAAAACTCTCTGCACTCTTTGACAGACATTCCCGCCTTATTCCGGCCTTGGAGCGCCTCTGATTGCGATTTATTTATCGGGGATAAGCGAGGTATAAAAGGGATTTTTACGCTGATCTAATTAAATGTGCCAAGTGGCGCCGGACGATCACTCCATAAATAAAAACAAGAGGACACTGACTCGATCAGAAGCTCGAAGAACCTGGGAGAATTGGGGCAATGACATCTTTTTCTCGACTCGAAACTTATTTTACTGTGGCATGCAGATAATGTAAAAGAATTTTTCGAGTGTCACTTTATTGATAACAACAACTATTTGTACTTTTTGACAATTATCATTAATGTGGGCTTGTGGTTTTGTTTATTTTTTGATAATTCTGCGAACTTTGAGATTTTCCTGCAATTTTCTCCTACCTAAAATTTGATGATTAAATAAAATTTTCGTAAAAAATTCACTTATCTATGAAGAATGTACATCCTTAAGCATTTTACTTTTCAATTAAATTGATAACATTGGTAAAGTTTTTAATTGTGCACTTACATTGTGATAATGGTTTATTAACTTTGCATTTTTTTTTATTTAATTTATTTAATAGATTGATGGGAAATGAATGAATTGACATAATAATTCCTAAGTAAACTTTTGAAAATAGGTGTCAATATAACCCAAACATTGTTTAGGCTTCTTTCTGTAATAGACTGTATTAAACTGTATTTGCAATTAAAAAGCTTTCTGTCTGATATAACCAGCTTTGCCATGTTAACTTTTTGTGCATCTGAAAATGATGCACTTGAGTTGAAACAGCGTAAAGTTGCGTTCGAACCGTTTCAAAAATTGAATAATTCAAAACGTCGAGCAAAACATCATGCAACTAAATTTAAAATGTATGACGAGTTGAAATTAGTGTTTTTCTGCCGTCGTTAAACACTGAATAATTAAATTTGTTGTCGGTATAGCGATTTTTGCTATACATAAAACGACTCCACTTTCTATCCATTAAAACCCGAGAGATTAAATTATTGTTTCGTCCCTCGACCATGTGGTCTTAGATGTCCTCAGGTGACGAGTGTCCGGTAAAAGTAGCTGTCTGAATTGTTAGAAATGAAAGTGAGGCAACTGAAGAGGAGATTTTGTGTGATGTAAGGTGGCCCAGTTCGAGTCAAGACAACAGAAACAATTAAACGGTTTATGTGTGGAGGTCGCTTCCTGCATCATTAATCATTCTTCTGACCATCCTAGTTAGGCCGTAACCCACTTGATGAGCGTCTTAAATTTATATAAATTTCGTTTTAATGGAAAAGTAATTTTAGTCGTATGCACGATGGAATTATCATGAGGAATGCGTGAGGTCGAGCAATTTGCTTCATGATGCTCATCGAGTATTCAGCGCTCACGTGGACGCACAACCCTAAAGCGATTCACAACTTGAAAAAAAATTGAACGATCCAAAACGAGTCAAAAAATTTCGAGACTTCGGTTTATAAATTAAATTTTAAGTCATTCGTGTGGATTTCTTTCAATTTGTCGGCGGTCGGGATAATTCGCCTCATCCCCTTGCGTTATTTATCGTTCACGTGCGTCTAAATCATCTGAAATTTGGCTTAACCCTCGTAATCTTATCTTGTAACAATTCCGGCTCGATTTCGTCCGGAGTATCCGTGTCCTGCATGCTGCAGGAAGGCCCTCCGAGCGGTCGATTCGCTTTCCAGGTTTTATAATGCACCTTACTTATTCATTGCACACAATCGCATCAATAATTAATGAACGCAGGGGTCAGACTGGCCTTTTAAAAAGACCCTACTTTATTGAGTTCTCCCGGCAAATAGGTTGTTTTTGTTTGATAACTTTGTTTGATGGCTTTTTTACTCGAACCGGTCCACATAAATTTAAAATTATCTAATACCGATGCCGTTTGGACATATATGAGACCATTTGCTAAATGAAAATCGATCGGAATTTTTTTCGTGATTAGAAAGACGAATCGATTCAAGCCTTCGGCGATCACAGTCTGACGAAATTGGCAGTGGGCAGTAGGTGCCTCAAGGCGCTGCTCGCGGACCAATGCTTTTCGTAATATCGGTGCTGAAATGTCAGGTTTGTTGGTACAGGTGCTGAATAACAATGCATAATTAGGGTTATTATCAACCGAAAAACAGTTAAAATGCGGACAAAAAATTTTATCGATACGAGAACAACATTTAATCAAGTCCCGTTGTGCGCATAATTAATTATCTAAACTAATCAAGTCGAAACCCTCGCTTTATATTAATTACTTGTTATTCTCGTTATTGAACGGTAATAAAGGTTAGGAATACAAAAAACGAGAAAAACAAACATTTCTGCGTCGTTTGTGGAGGGTCATTGCTAACCCTCGAATACATTCAGGAAAAAAATGTTCATTAAAAGATAACAATGACCGTCTTTGTAGTTGCTCCACCTGACAATAACAGCGCTGCATTTTGAATAAAGCACTTGCTGCATCACACTGTTGCACTTTGTTCAGACGAAAATCGATTTTTCACTCAAAGAGTTTACTTTGTGGGTAAGACAGATGGCCGAAAAGATTCACGAGCGAAAGTACAATTGGCGATTTGGCACCAAGTGTGGGTTTTAGATTTTACTAATATTTATTGCGTATGCAACTACAAACAACCTATAACCCGACAAAAGAAAAATCCATGCGTATAATCAAGCCGTTACTGCAGTCTATAGCGGTAACTTTGTAGATAAAAACTTTAAACGTTTCCTATTGCTTGAAAGATGCTAATAATACAACATAATAATTCAAACAGTTTTTTCAACTGCTTTGTTCTGAAAATTAATATTCTCCTTGATTTCGCGACCTTAAGTTATACCTACTAGACTCGAATTTGGTTTAGTAAAGATTAAAAGTGATTTAATTAATCTAAAACACAAATTTAATTAATTAGATAATAGGTATGAATTGAACCAATCCAAGAGAAATTAATAAAACTGATGATCAAGAATTCAAATCTTAATCTAAAATTTTATCAATCGGGTTTTAAAATTACCCTTTTTTTGATTTAAAGAAAAATTCTCATTCAGAGTTTAATCATTTTATTTGTAATTATAGTTTTACGACAATAAACTCAAGATTAAATTAATTACATGAATATTTCAAAACACAATATAAATTTGTTGTGATAGAAATTCAAATCTATTGCAGAACCCAATAGAATTAGTTTGAAATATATTTAGGATCAAGAAAAGTTCATTAAAAAAACTATTTCAAAATTACAACAAAAGTGGTTCAAGTTAGGATTAGCATTAATCTGGCTTAGATACAAAATCAGTCCAGAAACGCATAAATTATTATTAATTTTTTGTTCGATTTCAGGCTTGTAATTTGCTTGTAAGGCACGCTTACCTAGGAAATGATGGTTAGGACATCTTGTGGATAATTATGAGTGATTTATTGATTCTAGCATCGTGTCTTCTATTGTTGCACTTGTTGAAAGTCTCATGTATATGTGCGTGTCCGGTACTAGTCCATGCAATAATCTAATAATTTATCTGGGGATTATTTTGAAAGAGCGGCTCTGTTACTTTCACGGAAGACCGCAATAAGTGTGTAAAATACGCGCGTTGCTCCGCCAAGAATTACATACATTACTGAGATTAAAGAGCGTGTGGTACGCAGTATATTCTCACTTGAATGTAATTTTTGCGATTCGGTGCTCTTTTTACGTTGAAGCAAAAGAGAAATTGGATTCTCTCCGCGTACTCGTAGATATGTAATTATAGGAAGTTGTATTGCATATTGTTAGGAGTTTTTCATTTTCGGGAGAATTATAAGGATATTCGTGGTAGATTTAGGAAATTGATAATATTGAGTAGTGAGTAATGGATTAGAGGCGGGCGCGGTGCGACGTGGAGATGGCTAAATCCGATAGCGAGGAGCGTTTATTAGCTGTGCACACCGGCAGCAAGCTAAGGGCAAGGTAAGTCTGGTACATTCTCGTCACGATCCGCCGATTGGATGGCAATCCAATAATCTCACTGTTCCGGTCTGACCTGATGCAATTCTTCTCTAAAGAGCCACGTTACTAAATACATTATGTATGATACCGGTGCTGCTTAGCTTCGCAGATTTCCTCTCAGGACTGTTCTATTGTTTTTTGATCGGTTGAGCTGCAAGGATTGCTGCTGCTGTTGCAGAATGCGAGCGGATGTGCGTTTTTGCGGTTTTTGCCGGCGAGTATGTTGTACCGTGTGTTTACCTCGGGAATTAATGTAAACTGGTATATGCACTTGCCAACAGGATCGGTGAAACGCACAATGTGCTCTTAATTACCAAGTATTCACCTGCGCTAATACAACTCGCACTTTCTACCATTTCTGACCGGTTTACAGAAAGAATCAAATCACGGAGCTTCTAATCTAATGCCAATCCAAATCTGATCTTAGCACTAACGACAAATCAATGTCACCGACCCTAAACACTGAGAAAACGCTGTGGATCCGAACTAAACCAACGGAA